AATAAAAAAGAAGAAAGTTTCATTTGTGAATGTGTTTGGAGAATAAACATATGTAGATCTGTTACAAACTTAACACCAACCGAGTATACCCAACTTTGAGGTCTATATGGTATTAAAGGCTTCAGAGGCCGGCAACAGCATTAACAACAACAGATATGACGACAATACAGGGATACAACAAAAAAATATATAAATAAATGCGACGGGTGGAGGCAGCGGGCAAAACACCCACAAGCCATTCGGCCAGCGGTGCATGTGTTTCCGGTTGCACTCAGCGGCAAACGGTTGCCAGTGTAAATTGGTCAACTAAATTATGCAGCATCAGTTGCACCAGTAGTCAAGCTGTCAGTTTGCTCCCGGCCTAGCCTTAGCCCACATAGCCCCCACCACCCCCTCCCCCCTTAGCCGTGCGGCGCCCACGGTGCCCGGCAGCAAAAATGCAACACAGCAGCAACAACTGAGTGAAATTTGCATTTTATAAAATTTTAAAGTATCAACCCTTGTGTGTGTGTGTGTGTGTGTGTGTGAGTGTGTGTCAGTGTAGCTGAGTTTGGAATCCCTGACCAGGCCAAATTTCAGCTTTACAAACACTTAGATGCATTTAATCGTTAACTTATCGATATCTTTTTGTTAACTTATCGATATCATTTTGTTAACTTATCGATAGATTTTTGTTAACTGATCGATAGCTTTTTGTTAACTTATCGATAGCTTTTTGTTAACTGATCGATAACTAAGTTATCGTTTTCATACACGTTTTCTTGAAACTTATCTCATTCTCAGAATATAGCAAAATGTCGTGAAAGACACGTTTGCATTTGATTTATTCTTTAGTAAATTTAAGTCTTTAGTTTTGAGCACTTTACTCTAAGCATGTTTCTAACATTGAAGACTTTAAAATTAATAGTTATTGTTGATTCTTATGATTTTTATTTATTTTTTAAATAACCGTTTTTCAAGACATTTTTTTTATATTCTCCATGATTACATTTATTGATCACATCTATTCAAAAAGTTTTCAATATAAATAAGTCAGTGACTTTTATATTTGAGTCACTTTCATTTCTCGCAGTGTAGGAAAGTCATTATAGAACAAAAAGGTAAATACACTTAATTAGCTCCACATAAATGAAATCAGTGACGAAAAAAAAAACCAAAAAAAGTGCTCTATTCAGATGTGACTGACTACGAGATACCCTATACACCGCGCCAAGCTGCCGTTACCAACATTCCAGCCTGCTTCTATTTATAAATACATACACTTAAGAAACACACACACTAAAAACCGAACATTGAAACATTGAAAATAGCTTGGAACCAAACAATTGTAATTATGTTACCATATTTGGCAGTTGCGCATTTTAATCAGGGTTCAAATTTTTGCATATGAAAACATGTATTGCTTGCAATATTTGCAGTAGAACTTGCAGTTGTATACATAAATTGAATTGCTTAAAATAATATAAGCCTGATACCGAACCCAAACACAAGGAGTTGGTTCGAGCCATTAACCGAACCACTTGCCATTTTTTTTGGCTTGCGACCCTGTTAGAGGCATCCTTTTTTTAGGTACCAAAAAGACTTTGGTATACCATAAGCAGATCAAGTTTATCATCGTATTTTATTCGTGTAACCCGATTTGTAAGTAAATATAATTTTGTCTTTTTTACAAGATTTTCTTATAATAGCACGATTAATCTTTTATCTTTTTAATAATAGGATAATTGAAGTTAATCGTCTACCTTCTGATCTCTACCAAGGGAGAGGACTATAGTTACTAGTTTGTTTAGTTTATAGGGTATATGCAGAGAAAGGGTGTTCACAATGACAATGCGTTTAGCTCTACTAAGAGTACCCGCTGAATAGTTTAAGAGATTTGCAACCTTACGTCAATTGGTAAAAACTGAATTCGGTGTTATTTGATATTGATTCGAGGAGAAACGTAACAACGCAAATATAAATATTCTCGTATACAAACTCTTCGAACAAGTTAATGGGCCACACCGCCGATTTCCGATGAACTTTTCAAAATTGTTTGCAAAACCAAACTTTCTGTGTGAGTCGGATCCGAGCCGGGTAACGGTAGATGTGGCGTGGGTGGATTGGCAGCTGAAATGCTTGGGATGCTTCATAAAGCCAGAAACATATGTTCGTGGTCTTTATTTGGTGGTCAGCCGTGCGCTGGCCTTTTAACCGCTGGATGTTTGTCACTTGTAACCACGACGGCCATTTCCGCTGGCCAGTCGCCATTTTTTGCTAGTTACACAGTTGTAAAATCTCTGCCAATTGATAGGCCATGGCAACGGGCCATGGGCTGTCCAGTTTGGTCAATGGCCATAATTTAGGGCGCGGCGGGCGACTACCGAAAAGTGCATTGCAGATTGCCTCCGTCTGATGGATGCACAAATAATGGGAAACATAATGCAAAACAGGAAATAAATTATTCTGCTTGCTCTTGATATTGCTGAACCGACTCACTGAACTGACAGTCGGCATCTATGGGCCTGGATCCGGGCCTGACCCTAAGCCAGCCATTCTGCGCAGACAGAAGCAGGCAGCGTAATAACAACAATCAGCAGCATTTTCCTCTGCTCCTGCTGCTGCAGAATGATCAGCATGAATGCAAATCATTATGATTACAGCGGTGAACAAAGTTTCAAAACCTAACCATGTATGTTCTCATGTATGTATGTACGTCCGTCTGTATATATGGCTATTTGGTTTGGACAACAAACTGGTTTGGAGTGCTTGGAAAACCATGTTGGAAATATTGAATTTCGAAATGGGCCAAGAATGTTATCTGCTTTTGAATTGTTCAGCTGATGTTTGAATATGTTCGTATTGCCGTTAAGGCTTGGGATTTGGATTGGCCTTGTTCACCAGTGTCATCATTATTATCATTGTGAAGTTGGCTGGGTTAATTTTGTTTGATTTTGATCGAATTAGCGTAAAATTGAGCGTTCGGCAACTTTGGGAGCCACCGGGTCGCGCTCAGACGGCAAGAAGGTGGCCCGGCCCGAGCCCGGGCCCGGGCCCGGGCCAGGGCCAGGGACGTGCGCTGATTGTCAAAGCCGAAGTTCAGCCTGCAGGCCGCGTGCGGGGCATTAAGAGGCGTTGATATTGTGCAATACCCAGGCTGCAGCTGATGATTTGCATGGGCCTTAGCTCAAGCCCATCAACAGTTGCTGGCTCCGTCGCCACCGAACTGGCGCGTAATTGGCCAAGTTATTATGTGCTTTCTGCCTGCTCCTTTGGCAAATTGATTTTGCTTCGTGCCTCATCAGCAGCGACAATTGCCCTTGCCCTGGCGAGCTCATCATGTTGCTGTCGCTTCATATGCACACGTAGCCAGTGCCCCATGCTTCACTTCGAAGCTTCTTTGGGCATTGCCATTTTAATGCTGCTGCTTTTGCCGCTGCTGCTGCTGCTGCTGCTACTGACGTTTTTTGCGGTTTCACACTTTGGTTAAGGTTCCATGCCCTTCGCACTCAGGTGGTTGCCGCCGCCAGGCAATAGGTCAAACCAGCAGCGCCGCATCTTGCATGCAACGTTAACGATAGGTATCCAAGATGAATGTTTTAATTTATTAGTTTCAGGCAAATACAATATAAAAAAAGGGAGCTGCATTAGACTGTTACAAATGTATTGCTTGTGCTTACAAAGATCTTGGTCATTCTTATCTACTTAATATACTTGTCCATAAATTTTTTGTGGAAATCCGAACGCAACGCGTCGTTGACAAAGTGAGTCTTCTTTTCAGGGGCCGAGCGAGCGCAGTTCTTAAACACAACATCATCATCCCAACGACGCTTAATTTTTAAATCGCCTCCATTGCCAGAGGTGCGTCCGGCAGCTGAAACCGCTGTTCCGGGCTCATAGTTTATTAGTGGATTGCCCGACAGAATGTTTTCCATGCGTATGCGTTCGTCCTCTTGTTTCTTTTCGGCTTCACGACGTGCCGTCTCTTGCAAGCGCTCCTGTTTGATTTTCTGCAATTCGGCCAGCAGGGCTGCATCATCATTGTCCGAATCGCTGTCCGAGTCCGAGCTATCATTGTCCAGCGGCTCATCTGCATCAAGATTGGCAGCATGCTGTTGTTGCTGTTGTTGTTGATGAAGCTGCTGCTGCGACAGACTTTCCAGTTTAGCCCGTTTGTTTGTACTGCTCCCGCTAGCATTGTTTGCCTCAATAGCCTTTCGCACAATCGAGGGCAGTGCCTTACCCGAGCTGTTGCCAGAACGTATGTCACGCTCACGCTCCTCGAGTTCTTTGCGGAAGTCACGATTGCGAGTCTCTTCGCTAGTTCCTTGGCCAGTTTCTCTACAAGTATTGGCGAAACGTTGTTCATTAAATGATTAATATATTGGAATATACGAATATTTATAAATATGTGTACATACCTGTATTTAAGTTTAGTGTGTCCGGGCAAGTCGCGACTCGAATACTGTTTGCTGAGTGCACTCAAGTCTTTTTCGCCGCGTCCAGAGCCACCGCGCGCTGGATCAAATGTGGGGCGCGCCGCTGTAGTCATTTTAAGGCTTTAACTTTTAGCAAAAAATACTTTAAAACAATTCGACGCAAACGGCTTCAATTAATTTTTTACTTGTTTTGCTGCGTATCAGCTGCTTGCTGACTTTTAAGCTATGAGTTTCGATATTTAATATCGATATATTTTGATTTGTCAAACACAACGTTCTCATAATTCGCATTTGCTTAAATTTCCAACAGTTATTGGACAAGCAATGTCGAACATTTATTACGAAAGTGGGGAAAGTAAATTATTTTCTTGGAATATTTGAGCTTATTGCGCTATATACAATTCCTTAAAATTTAAATAAAATTGAAATCTTATTGCGCTTGTGGTGGACCATTTAACATTTCATAACGAAAACCAAAAATGCTATTCAGTGAGAACTATTAAAAAATATCGCAATGTCACCTATCGATAACTTAAAGTGGCATCCTTCTAGTGGTAGCGTTGCCAGATATTTAAGTAAAACCACGCGAAATTTGTCAATAACAAATAAACATGCCGCTGGAGCCCCAACGCTACAAATATTACAAAACACAACTGAGCGATATATTGCAGAGCGCAACAGCTCTCATTCGCACCTGCTACGACGCATTAAGCTGCCAAGCACCACAGCTCTCTGTACAAGCGAATCGCATTTGGGAGCTCAGTCAACGACTACGTTTAGTCTCTGGGTAAAGAAACTGCATGTACATACATGCACATGTATGCACGTTTCGCGTATCGCCTATTAATTGCCAGAACATTCCCACAGAATCAACGAAGCGGCTGCTGCTACACTGCTCTCAGCTTGCCATGACGCATATCGACCCATTTACCAGTTCATGTTAGTTTTGTATGGACAATACTCCAGAATGAAGCAAAAGTAATTGTTAATATTCGCAGAGATCAGCAGCAGAAAACTGTGGCTGAGGTTGCTGTCCTTGTGGCAGATTTTGACCGAGAACGCCAGGCTCTGACAGAAGAGCTGGGACAGGTGGAAGAGCTGAGACGGTGTACACTTGCCGAATGGAGCTCTTGGCTAGCACAAGCGCTTAGCGTGCTGCAAACCCAAACCAAGTTTTTGGAGCTGAATTCACGTTTCCTTCTGCCTACGCTAGTGCAGAGCTCAACAATCAAACAGTTCACACAAGATTTGGAGCTTGCAACGCATTACAAGGCTAAAATTGTCATGGGGTTAGCACAAGCCGTGCGCCGACCAGAGCTATTGCCTTTGAGTTTGGCAACCTGATTGGCTTCATCCAAATACACCAAATAAGTTATTAAAATAAAAATCGATTTATTTGTTTAAGGCTGTCATCTGCAATAAATGAGTTTTGTTGCCAATTCTGGCTGGATTACCTTTAGCATTTCCAGCAACTGCCGCTTGACCCAATCACGGGTCACGGATCACAAAAACACAAAACAAAAACAAAAAAAATCAATACAACTTTGAATTGTTGTTTTAAGCACTGCAATACTTGAAATTTATTAAAACATTTTTAATTTGGTGTTGTGTTATTCTTTCTGTATGTTTATGGTGTTTATATCATCCTCTTGCAAGAAATTGCCAAGTGCAAAACAACACCTGAAAGCGCAAAATTAAGATTTATTGAATTTTAAATAGATTTTAATCACCAGTCAATAACTCACATTCTAAACCAATCCCAAGCGAGTTACGCTCCTAGCGCAGACGTCTAGCTTCACGTTCAGATTCGAGAAGGGTCAGAATGTCTCCCTCACGCACAGGTCCCTTTACGTTGCGGATGATTTGACGGTTCTGTTCTCCAAGGAACTCCACTTTGACTTGTGTACACTGGCCTTGGGAGCCGGTACGGCCAAGAACCTTCATGACGCGAGCCCAAACAACTGGTTTGTCCATGTTTTTTGTGTATTTTCAGTGAGCTTTTTCGTAGAGAATTCACGTGCGAGTTGCGTTTCAATTGACAGACGCAAGCAAAAAGGAAGTTGGCTGATTATTGTTTCAACAACGTTAAGGTGGCTGCGCTAGGCACAGTGTTGCTTTGAGAAATAGTGTTGTGGACTGCTCTGGGCGAATTGTGAAATTCGGCCACTTACTGGGCTATAATTACAGCATTTTATTTTTTGATTAAAATAAGACAACTACATTAAAAAGTAAATTTTCTTTAATAATTTACAGATAATTGAATTGAATATTTGACAGCTTACACTCAATTACAGCACTGACAATAAGCCCAGTATTGCCAGACTACAACATAGAGATATATATTTATCTAAAATTTGAGCATAATAACTGAATATTATAAGTTATTTAAATGTGTGAATAAAAGTTTTATTTATAACGAGATTCGCTAAGCCTTCTGCTGATTCAAATTGATTGCTTGACTGCACTTTGTGACAGCCCCTGACAACTCTAAGCTGTCAACTGACGCGGCACCACGTAGACATTTGACAAGTGAAAGTCGGCAGAAATCGTGTTACGTCGGCTACACGCATTGTTGCTGGTTCCCCATTCGGTTAGTTTCGCTCATACGCGTTGGATGCCAGTTGCCCATCGGTACGTTTCCGTTGCTGTCTTTATTTTTCGTGTACTCGAAACCATAAGCGAAAGACATTAAATCCAACAAAATGAAGAACCTTATGTTCTTTCTGTTACTGGTACTGCCCACCATTATTTGCACCTTCAGCGCGCGTAAGTATTGCAGCCAACAAAATCACAGCAACTGTTGTTGCTTTTGTTGTATTTGCCGACAGCAGCAGCGGCTACGTGGCAGTGTCTGTGGCCAATGTCTGTGATTAGTTGACGGAGTTAAGGGGGCAGTCAAAGCCTTTGGGTGGCTACTTTGTCAAATGTGCATGTTGTCATTTTCATCCTGACCTCCACATTGCCTGCGCCTTTGCTGTTGCTGCTGAGAGCGAGAGAAAAGTGTTGAGTTGGCAAAGACACAACGCTTGCATACTTCGGTCTCATTCGTGTAATGTTTTTGGTGTTGCAGCAAACAAATTCGGTGCCTATGCGGCCGAGGCTGTCGAAGATGATCTAGTTGATGTGGATAGCGAAGAGGGTGCTGTGACGGGCGAGGATGCTGAAGCGGATGAGGAGTCTGACAGCGGGAGCAGCAGTACCTCACCCAACGCAGACACCTATCTACTGTTTACAAAGCCACTGCATACTGCTGGCCAACAGCTGGATCTGCCCGGAGGCAAGCCCGTCGAGTTCTTGATTGGCTTTACCAACAAAGGTCAGGAGGAATTCGTAATCGAGTCTGTGGAGGCCTCCTTCCGTTATCCCATGGACTTCAACTACTTCATTCAGAACTTCTCTGCCGTGGCGTACAACCGTGAGGTGAAGCCTGGCTTTGAATCAACTGTCTCGTATACGTTCCTGCCGTCTGATCAGTTTGCTGGCCGTCCCTTTGGCCTAAATATTGCCCTGGCGTACCGTGACGCCAACGGCATCCAGTATAACGAGGCTGTCTTCAATGAGACTGTGCTGATTTCTGAGGTGGACGAGGGCTTGGATGGCGAGACATTCTTCCTGTATGTACTGCTGGCGGGCATTGTTGTCCTGCTACTGGTCATTGGACAACAGTATCTGCTGGGTAGCTCTGGCAAGCGCAAGCGTGCCGCCGCTAAAAAGGTAATTGAGACCGGCACCGCCAACGACAGCAACATTGATTACGACTGGGTACCTCAGGAGACACTGCGTGCGCTGCGTAAGTAGTATACTGCAATAGATGGCATAGTTAGATTCTTACAATTGTTTGCATTCAACAGAAAAATCGCCGCCCAAATCAAAAACGCCAAAAACATCGCCCAAGCCAGGCAAACAGGCCAGTCCCAAAGCAAGCCAACAAAGCCCCAAGCAGCGCAAGGTGAAGCGCTCTGCGGGTGACGACTAAAGACTGCGTAGCCTGTCAAGCTGCACCAAACAGCCCACTCACACACAAACATCCATTCATACAAGAACATCCAACATTTGCTTGCAGTCTAATATTATGATTAATACCTTTTTTTTTTTTTTTTGGTCAATTGCGATTGACAATGTAGAGATTGTTAGTGTTTACACAGAGATGACAGCCAGGTTCCGTGCTGTTCAAAGTTTAAAATATTTGTAAACGTTAGCAAATTGGTTTTTTTTATTTTCGATTCGAACTGCCACTGCTGCAAGTACATACTCCAAAACGGGCCTAACTTTGTGCCACGCCGCATAATTGTCTTCGTTTGTTGAAGATCGCAGGGCGAGAGCAAAAGCATCCAATTATAAATAGACATTAAATAAGCATTTTTATTTTTTATTTCTTGCGTTTTTCGAAAGATGAATGTTTATTTTGTTTGCATACATGTATCTTTAGCTAGAGATCCGTTGTCTGCACATAGCACATAGCATATAAAGAGGAAAATTTCCCAAAAAGTAATAAAAGAAAAAATGTGAGAAGTTATTAATAAATATAATGTATTTTGGATTAGGCTAAAATTGTTGGTTGTTCAATTGGTAAATTCAATAAGATTGAGTAATCGCATTTCGAAAATAGAAAAATGGAAGCGTCTCCAACTGCATAAAGTATAAACACATATTCGGGATCAGGAAATTTCCATAATCTCGGCAATTTTAAAGCAAGGCTTTTTAAGCAAAGCTTGATAGATACGATCTTAAGTATTACAGCTTTTTTGGAATGCCTCCCAAAATGAAAAGAATATTTATAATTCGTTGCCAAATTTAACATCTAGCTGGGTAGCTGGGGTAAGCTGAGTACGAGCTGAGTTGATTACGGAAACAACAAAAGCAAGAGGCTTCAAATTTAAAATATATAGTCTCGTATATCAGACGCATCATTTTGTCGATATTTTGCTTTGGTTTTAATAATTTTGAAAAAAAAATTCTTTTTTGAGAAATAGGTTTTTCAGCATAGCTTAGATATTAAAAGATCAAGATGCAACAAAATTGCTGAAGAGCTTTCTGTGTGGTATATGGTCAAGAATAAATATCATGGAGTCATATGTTTTTGACTATGACTACCATAAAAATGTTCAAAATCGAAGCCATGTAATGCCAATAAGTGCCGCTAGGTCTTCTTCAGGTCTGAGAATAAGTGAGTTTCCCTGAAGAAGAGATCTAATTCGTGTTTTTGCACCACCCAAAACCAGGCCCACTTGAGCCCGGAGTGATCATCGAGCACAGTAGATCATTTACTGATTCGTTCCATAGAAGGGATGAGAGGAAATATCCATGTGCAGAAATTTCAAACGATTCCAGTGGTGCCTCAACAAGCGCGGTTTCACCATCAAATAGATTAAGATCTATCTATTTAGGGATTGACCCTCAAGCGTCAATGATTCTACTTAAAGTAACTTTGTTAAAAGCTTGGGTTTTGCTAGAATGATGGCCATGTCATGGAGGGCTTTTTCAGTTTACCTGACTTTCTGTATAGACAGTTTGAGGGTGGAATGATAACGGACTCAGAGGCATTCTTTATTTGCGGGCATTAGGACTTTTTCTGCCTCAAGAATGATGGCATATTTGTTTTCAAGTCGGGTCCCTGCAGCTGAATCGAGTGATTCTCAGCTCGAAAGTTGCCCCCAATCATCTGGCTTTCGTAAGTAGTCAAAGGTTGGAGAAGCTTTGAATAACACTTGCCTTAGCCTTGTAGTATCAACGGAACAATTGTTGTAGAACTGAGAATCGTTGTAGCTCAACAGTTTAACGTTTAGCAAACGCACCTCTAATTAAAACTTTATCATTAAACCTAACTAAATTAAAATAATAAATAAGTGTTGTATGCTAGGCTTTAATTCGGAAAAGCTGCCTAAAGGAAGCCGAAACTAAACCAGACCCAATTCATAATTTTCAAAAACAAACTGTTTGGTTAAAAACAATTGTTTGATATAGAATATAAGAAAATGCAATGTTTGGTTTTCGAATCATCGAAAATTTATGTTAGGTTTGTTTTTAACATTTACATTCCCATCTATTTGTCTAAGCCTTGCTTCGAACGTTACGTGTGGAGCAGTTTTTACAGATGTGGAGCCACAATTGCTGTTAATTTACATACAGCATTGGCAAGTCGATACCTTAAGCAGAAACGACTCGTTGGACAACAGTTGGCAGCACTCAGTACTTGGTACTCTCGATAGTAGTGCACAGTACTCGATACTTTCGATAGCAAAACAATATAAATTACGAACGATTGACGATGACGAACGTTTAATGAGCAATATTTAAACAAATTAAATAAATCATTAACGAAACAAAGTGTGCAACCCGGGCGCGCGCTTGCACCCATAACAATTTACGTGCATTTACGCCAGCGGGCGACTTACAGTCGCGGCTCCGCCTCCCCAGACCGTCACGTAGACGTTCTGCAGTCGCCGAGTCGGAGGCCATCTCACATTTGACAGAGGCGTAAAGATGACCGCCTCGGACAAGTATACGTATCAGCGGACTGTGCTTTGCTTAGCGCGCGTACTGGCAGGAATCCAGCCCACGCCATGGGACAAGGTCGGTGTGCGGGGGGTGTGTTTTGGTTGAGTGGTGTGTGTTGATGGTGTCTGCTTAGGGGATGAAGTTGGGGGGGGGGGGGCAGTGGACGCAAATTGAAAATCGAATTTTCGCGCAACTAACGTTGACCTTGGACGCAACAGACATGCGTGTAGTGACGTCGTTGCCTCAACGGGAGGGCGGTTGGGGAGAGATATATATATATGCTTTTGTTGTTTTTGTTGTTGTTGCTGCTGCTTATCGCAGCGTATCCGCTAGTCACCTTTAATATCCTGTATATATTATGCGCATTGCCGCCACAGGTGCAAACACTCTTCCGCTACTGCCCGCAGGAGAATGCCTCAGGCGTATTTTGTTTGGACTCAAGAGCACAGGATGCTGTCATTGCATTGGGCATCTACTTCCTGGAAGGCGGCTGCCAGCATGAGTCACAGATTGTGCCCTATCTGCTGCGGTTGGCCAAGAGCCTGCCCAAGGCAAGAATACATGATGAACGCAATAGCAAAGTAGAGCGTAAGTCTAGACGATGCCTTTCAGAAAATAAACTGCATCAACTGGTGTCCTCATTGATTATTCCCAGGTGTGCGCATACCCGCGGCAGAGAAGTTCAGCTTCTGCCTTAACACACTGCTATCAGACATAGCAGCCAAATGTCCGGATTCGCGTGAGGAGATCATACTTAATCAGGTCGAAACGCTGGGCACGCTCGCCAACATTGTCAAGCCCAGCAAAGACAGCAACTCGACACCACCGCCCCTTGTGCTGTGCAATGCAACGGTACCGCTTCTGTTTGGTCTGGCGCGATCCATGGGTCGCTATGCCAGTAACAATCCGCCGCTGCTGTGTCGCATATTTCCGCCCGAACGGCTGCCCATACAGCGTTCTAGTGCCGGCGGCAATGGCACCTGTGGCGGCTCCTTTAGCAGCAGCGAACGACTCGCGACCACACAGTTTCGGCCGATCATACCGCGTTCCATGTCAGGCAGTTTGGCCCACAGCCAGGTGCCATCTGATGAGAGTCGTATACGTCCGATAGGCGGTAAGCAAAAGCCATCGTTGCAAAGCTACTTCTCGGTGCCGTACGATCCGCGTACGCATTTTTTCACACGATACGGCTCCAGCTTCAATCAGTTTCCCCATATGCGCGTCAATTTATGCGAATCGCCTAGCAAAAGCGGTCCAAAGCCGTTGTACCGTGTGCCACCATTTCCCATACAGCATTTGCAGACCATCTTTGCGGTGTCCAAGAAGCTACTGACCAAGGACACGCTGGAGTATTTGGATGAGCTGGGCAGCGACATATTCTCGCTGCATCTGAACAATGGCAATTGCTACAAGAGCTTCTCGGAGATGCTCAATCTGGTGCTAGTCACATTGTTGCGCGAGCTGCTGCAGCACCAAGTCGATCTTCCCACACCCTTCACCAAGGATGTACAGGAGTTTGTCAAGCGTCTATTTCTCAACGGCCAAACGGAACTGCAAAACAAACAACAGGACCAGGAACGCGAAAGGCGCGAAGAAAACGGCATTGCAGTCGTCAACAAGTACAAGATCAATGTGATGGCCAATGCCGCCTGCGTGGACCTTCTGGTTTGGGCCATACGCGATGAGACGGGTACGTAAACAAACCTTGCGCGAATCTTTCAGTATCTCTTTTTTAATTATGACTTTAACGGACATTTTATTTTATTTTTTTGTATATATATTTCGACAGGTGATAAAAGCGTGTTTGTTGTCCGTTTCTCTGATTCTATTTGATATTGTTTCAAATATTTGAACCCATACTTTTGTGCCACAAAGCGCAAGAGAACTTTAACAACAAACAAAAAACCCTTTTAAACAAATGCTTGATTCTGGTGCTCTGATGTTTATAAGATTTTGTTTATACGTTAGATGCAATATAAAGCTTATATTTGATTGAATTAAGAATATGGTGAAAAACATACAAATCAGTTCATACAAAGTATCTGATAGCTTTATATGACAAACTGCTCGAATCTGAACGATTCCGAAGCCGGATCTATGCTAAGCTTTTGGTTAAAACTGAGTGACAGTTTACCTTTACTAACATGATAAATAAACATGAATGCAACTGTTTGAAACATTTGCCAAGTTTTTAAAGCTGCAACGCTTTCGCCTATATTGAATTTTATCCTTGTCTGCAGCCTTAGAGGACTAAAGCGTTTTGACGGACGTGTAACGTATCTATTATAAACTTAGTTGGCCCGAAAAAAAGCTTGCTCTTGTCGAGAGTTCCGACTTAGAGTTACCGTGTTCGCAGCGGCGAGCTGCTGTAACAAACATTTGGATTCCTTCAGAATCACAATTTGGGAACTGCTACACAGCTTCTCTGACAGATAGATAGACATGGCTAGATCGAGTTGGATGTTGCTCCTGTTTATAAATATTTATACTTTATGGAGTCGCAGATGCTTCCTTCTGCCTGTTGCATACATTTGAATAAAGCTGTAACTTCTATGTACAAAATATGAACTGATTTGCAAGTTGAAGTCTGTATTTATATCCTTTAATGGATATGAAACGGGTTTATTTGAATAAAACTTGAGAGGCTTAGATATATATTATACTCTTGATCAGTATCAAAAACCGATTCAATATTGTAGCTATGTTGGCCAATTTATAAGCAGCGAGTAGTACTCTCTCAGTTTTAAAGTTAAGTTTTTGTTGAATAAAATACTTTTCAGTTATCCAAGATATCTCAATGTAAAGATATCAATTTATGGGCCATATCTGATCAACATCGGAGCACTAAATTGACTAAATAGCTGGCATAGGAAAGATCGGTGACAAATTTAGTGTTTGTAATAAGGGTATTTTCTTTTAATCTTTATTTATTTATCATTCTTTCTGTTAACTAGTAAATTCCACAAAGGAAAAGCCGTCAAAGATCAAGGCAAGGTTGAGATCACATTGTCAGGGTATATGTGGCTTCGGTGCACCGAAGTTAGCTTTCATTTCTTAGTTATTTTTCTTTGAGTTGATATTTTTTTTTTGCCAAAACGGAATATTTTTACAGTTGACGTCGACTATAACGTGTCATCCTTGCAAAATGGCTTGCATTTTTTATTAATGAAAGGTCAGGAGCAGTTCCTGTCCCCTCAGTTCCAATCGATTTGTTTATTTGATTAATTTTAATGTTTTGTTTTCTGACTACCGATTACTTTTCCGTATTCGTATTCGTTTTCATTTTCGTTTTCGTTTCGTAGTTCGTGTTCGTTGCTATCACGGCATGTTCACGAGTATCATATACGAATGGGATCGGAAGAGGATCCCAAACGTCATTTGACCATTGCGCCGCATGCTGCTCTACTTTCCCAATGTTGAGGTTGTCGTTTCCGGTTTCCTCTCCCTTGTTCCAATTAATTTGAATATCGTATGCTAATCATAATCATATCATCATTTTCAAACACCTAACAGAGGCGGACAAACTGTGCGGACGCTTGTCGCAGAAGTTAAATCTTGTTCTCAGCCATAAGATCGTGATGGATCATATGCCGCTGCTGATGGTCTGTCTGGAAGGACTGGGCAAACTTGCCCAGAAGTTTCCCAACATTGCGGGCACATCGATATCGTATTTGCGCGATTTCTTGGTCGATCCTAGTCCCATACTGGGCAAGCTGCATGCACATGCAATGCAAACGCTAGCCCTGCAGAAAAAGGAGAAGGAGCTGACGCATTTCAAGATTGTGGTGCAGCATTCGGATTCACGTGCGGTCGTCGACATCTTTGATGAAAACCAGAAGCAGCCCGGCACCGGACGCAGCGGCTATGTGGCATTTGAGGCACTGCGCGATGCCGCCATAGAGAATCTATCGATTGCACTGCGCGCTGCCCACACGCTCGACCAGTTTTGTGTTCCCGCCCTCGTGGCAAATGTGTCAAACCGTCTCTTCACCGCCGAAAAGCACGAGAGGTGAGTCCACAATCAATTATATAGTGAATCACAGCTTATCGGACTGTCATTTGCTCTGTAGCGAATCAACGCTGGTAAGCTTGAACATTATCGTGATGCTGGGCCATGTTGCCGTGGCGTTAAAGGACACCTCAAAGACCACACAGAATATACTACAGTTCTTTATACAGCGCTTCTGCAAGGTTCCATCGGAGCAGAACGCGTTAATTGTTGATCAGCTCGGCTGCATGATTATCTCGCAGTGCGAGACGCACATTTTCGATGAGATTATGAAAATGTTCTCACGTGTTACCGTACAGTCGGCATCGCTGGCATATACTTCAGATCCGGAGCATCGGAAACAGTTCCATCATGTCTCCGATGCGGTGGTCAATGCGCTTGGCAACATTGCGGCCAATATACAGGGCGATTCTGAGATGCTTGAGCTGCTGGGCAAATTGTTGGAGCTGTTTGTGCAAATTGGACTCGATGGAGAGCGTTCGTATGACAACACGCCGGGCGCCCAAAAGGCTAGTTCACGTGCCGGCAATCTGGGCATGCTAATACCCGTTATTGCTGTACTCATGCGCCGCCTGCCACCTATTAAAAATCCGCGTCAGCGCCTACACAAGCTCTTTAAGGACTTTTGGGCCTATTGCGTTGTTATGGGCTTTACAAATGCTCGCCTCTGGCCCGCCGACTGGTACCAGGGAGTGCAGCAGATAGCAGCCAAGTCGCCGCTGCTCATCTCGCAAACGGCACACAAATCGGATATGCGCGAGCTCAACTATACATTGGCCATTAAGAGCGATTCGGTGAACGAGCTGCGCAGCCAGATACTTGTGCTGCTAGAGCACTCTTCCGACAACGTAGCTGCTTCCATTAACAAGCTTAGCTTTGCCCAATGCACCTACTTGCTCAGCGTTTATTGGCTGGAGATGCTGCGCGTCGAGAATGCCGATGAGCCCAGCCTGGAGCCCATTATGAGCTACCTCTGCGACACGGCACTTCAAAAGGACAAAACTGGCATTTGGCAGTGCGTCAAATGGTGAGTGTGCCGCTCATTGATATTCTATGAATTATTTAAATCCATATCTATACATACACCATAATATATATATAGAGTTTGCATTTCATTTTTAGCAACTCTTTTAGTTTGCCTTTGCATTGCATGGGAAGAGCTGGCGGTGCACTCAATGTCTTCCACAAAACAAGTTTGCGCCACCAAAAAAACTGTTTTATCATCTGTCACAATAATACCTATGTCTCTAAAGCTGTTAACTACTTTGAAAAGCATCAACCGAAAAGAGAGTCTTATGAAAAACTCGATCGTTTATAAAGTTAGTGAAGCTTACTCAATTTACTCAATATTCGTTTCTCTACAAGGGCATTAAATGTTTACCTCATCAGCACTCTCACTAAAATGCCTCTCCTAAACCGAACTTCAATACAATTTTTAAATATTAATTAGAATTTTTCAACAAATGCGTGTAATAGGCAGCAGGAGACATATCCGAGCCCGTAAAATATATATAGGTTCTTGGTCCGAACTAATTATATCAAACAAGCAAAAAAAAACAAATATGAAAATTGAAAGTTTATTTAAAAATTATTGTTTTATCAATAATTTGAAATGAAATGATACCTCAAGCGTTCAATACAGATCGCTTTATTTATAAAATTGTTATGATTATATTTTGCAGCGTGGCGGATCAGGTGTTCGAGAAGTTCCGCAATGTGCTGTATGCCCATGATGAGATCAGAGAGAAGGTCTTGGAATCACAGGCAACGCTGCTGTTGGTCTACTTCAATCATATACACAAGCAGATTCAATTGGTGGCGGATCAGTATCTGTCGCAGCTGGTGGATAGATTTCCGCATCTGCTGTGGAATCGCCGCGTGCTGTGGTGCATGCTGGACATACTGCAGCTATTGGCGTATTCCTTGTCGCTGGATCCCAACGAGGAGACTCCAACGCTTCGTGTCGTTTCGACGCCGTATACGCTGCAGCTGATGGACTCGCTGCCGGCGCGTGAGCTGCGTCTTAAGGATTTTGCCGATCGCTGTCAGGGCATTGTGAACGAGGCTATGAAGTGGGCGCCCCGCTCTACGCGGTCACACTTGCAGGAGTACCCGAACCAGATACCCACCCCAGTGCTAGCCCATCACAGCGGTCTCGCGCTGGCATTTGACTCCGTGGTAAACAGCAGCACCCTGCATCCGGGCAATACATTGAGCACGCTCAGCAAGCGGCCTAGTTGCGTCAACTCGGACACGCCGCGCTTCGTTTCCGTGCTGTGCCTGCGCAGCAAGTACGCTGGCGAAATAAGCGGCCTTCTCTCCGTTCTTAGTGACCAAGACAAAGCCGGGCTGGCCGATCGCCTGGTTAGCGATGTGTGGGGCGCATGTTCCGAGAAAAGCGATGCTAGGCATCGCGGCGCCTTGTGGCGAGCAACCGCCTACCTCATCATCTGTGCAGAGATCGATAGAAAACTGCTGCATGCGGTGGCTAGCTCGCAGCTGGAGCTGTTCACCGAGTCCGCCATGGAAACCGCTGTCGAGTGCTGGCAGTGGGTGCTGACGGCGCGTCAGGATCTGGAGCTGTGCTTCATACAGGAAATGGTTAGCGCCTGGCAGACAACATTTGAGAAGCGCATGGGTTTGTTTGCCTGGGAAATGGAGATCACGCATCCGCTGGCCGCATACGAGGGCTGCAAGCTGGTCAGTAAGCCCATGCTGATAGCGCCGCATCTGATTTGGCTGCAGCTGCTATCAGAAATGGTGGACACAGCCAAATATTGCAATCGTGACAAGGTCGAAATGTTCTGTTTGCTTCTCCATCGCTGCTTGCCCATACTAAAGAACAGTCGCCAGAATCGACAGGTGGCCACCGTTGGCTGTCGCTTCAAGCTGCTTCAGTGTGGCCTGTCGCTGCTTCAGGGCAATACCATACCAAAATCTCTGGCGCGCAACATACTGCGCGAGCGCATCTATTCAAATGCCCTCGACTATTTCTGCGGCCCGCCCACGTGCCCCAATCAGAGCCGGGAGCAGCTGTTAGAGGATATACTGATATTGCTGAAGTTCTGGCAGACAATGCGCAGCGAGAAGAAGCATCTGGTTACATCGGAGGTCGGCGACTATGATATCACTAGTGCCTCGATCAGCTCTACACAAATGCTGGCAGTGCGCAATAATCCGGAGACTGCGTCCCTTATCAGCGGGGGCGCTGACTATGCACGGTCCATGAGTGCCACTGGCAACACAGGCGGCTGGTACAACACCATACCACATTCCACTTCCACGTTGTCAAAGCGCTCGAATCGCTCAAAGCGCTTGCAGTACCAAAAGGACTCCTATGACAAGGATTACATGAAGAAGCGCAATCTGATACTCGAGCTTCTTGCCGTCGAGCTGGAGTTTCTCATTACCTGGTACAATCCCAACAGTCTGCCCGATCTGATAGTGCCAGGTAAATACTATATATGTAATCTTAAATGGAATCGGCAAGTTTAACATTTGATTGGGTTGACTCGTTTTTGTCCAGACCTTTAGCTTCTACTTGAAATAACTCGAGTCTTTACTGCTTAAATCAACAATTTCGAATCAAGTCATGAAGATATATAAGCTTAACTATAGATTCTCTAGATGTGGCTAAGTGCGAATACCTATTTACAATTCCAACGATTGCATGTGCTTATTTTCTCTTTCTCTCTTCACATCTCCCTAACTCTTTTTATATGATATCCGTAAACGTGTTCTTGTGCATAGTATATATGGTATCCCACACTTTTAGGTTTTTTATCTTTTCACTTTTATTTATTTTATTTCCAATTCCATGCAGGAAACTAATTTGGAAAAAAAAGTGTGATGCTATAAAATGTTGTACCTGGAAAGCGAACGTTTTTACAACATTCCAAATGTGTTTTGTTTGCTCTTTTTAATTAAAATGGAGGCGGCTTTCCTTGGACTGGAAAAACCCTGTTGGGATCTGTTTCCACCCATTTGTGCTTTCTGTGATAGTTGCATTTCCCATTACATTAAAATCTGGGCCTTGGGGCGACCACTAAAGAGATATTACTCTAACCTGCATTAGAAAGGTTGTGTTCATCTCGATCTTATGACAAGCAGCATTATTTTGTTGGAGAACAGATTCTGCGACCAATCTATCGCCAGAGGGAAATGCCTAATCAAATGCAAAGTTCTTAACTATTGATATTGTTTCATGAAATCGTCAATGGAAACTGAATCGTCCACTCCATTTAACTAGCCTCAAAACAACAAAAACAAAATGGGGTTTAACCATGCTAGATATGTCTTAATATTGGCATCCATTAAGCTCTTCAAACCCATTACTAATATTCCACTCGAAACTAAAATTTTTGGGTGTTTTGAGTGGAAGAACCTCAAGACTCATAGCCGCACGTTTTATACTGGATCGATACAAGCTTTTATGAAGAAGCGATGTTGATTAAAACTATTCATTTCTCTATGTTTCAATCCACGCAGGTGAGGAACAGATTACCGAGTGGCGCAATCGTCCATACAAGCCAAATGTTTGGCGTGATTATGCGCGTTTGGCTTGGTGTTATAACCCGGCGCTGGCCGTATTCCTGCCGCAGCGCATCAAGAATGCGGAGACCATTGACGAGGAGGTATCACGGCTGGTATGCTCCGATCCGATAGCTGTGTGTCATATACCCGAGGCGCTCAAGTATTTGTGCACCACCAAGAATTTACTGCAGGAGAGCCCCGATCTGGTCTATATACTGTCCTGGTCAGCGGTGACACCCATCCAGGCGTTGTCCTACTTTTCACGGCAATATCCATCGCATCCACTAACAGCACAGTATGCAGTCAAGACATTGAACTCGTATCCGGCAGAATCGGTGCTTCCTTATATACCTCAACTGGTGCAGGCGCTGCGCCACGATACGATGGGCTATGTGGTGGAGTTTATTAAGAACATATCGAAGCGTTCGCAGATAGTGGCCCATCAGCTGATCTGGAACATGCAAACGAATATGTACATGGACGAGGATCAGCAGCATCGCGATCCCAATTTGTATGAGGCATTGGATCTGCTGTCACAGAACATAATTGGGTCCTTCTCAGGCGCCGCAAAGCGTTTCTATGAGCGTGAATTTGATTTCTTTGGCAAAATAACGGCCGTTTCCGGCGAGATACGCTCCTTCCCCAAGGGCATTGAGCGCAAGAACGCGTGCCTGGCGGCACTTAGCCGCATCAAGGTGCAATCCGGATGCTATTTGCCATCCAATCCGGAGGCAATGGTGCTGGACATTGAATATAGCAGCGGTACGCCCATGCAGAGTGCTGCTAAGGCGCCGTATCTGGCTCGATTCCGTGTCTATCGCTGTGGCATTACCGAGCTGGAGACACGTGCCATGGAAGTGTCCAATAATCCGGTAAGACAGAGACTCTATTTCTCTCTCTCTCTCTTTATCTCACACTAATTTGCCTTGTCTCTGTCTTATGCATGCAAAGAATTCACAGGAGGATGCACACATGACGCTCGGCGTCGAATCATGGCAGGCGGCCATTTTCAAAGTGGGCGACGATGTGCGCCAGGATATGCTAGCCCTGCAGGTGATCACCATATTTAAGAATATCTTTCAGCAAGTGGGCCTGGATCTTTTTCTGTTCCCCTATCGCGTGGTAGCCACAGCACCGGGCGTAAGTAGTCGCGGCCAAGATAGGTAGAGGACATAACCACAGCCATATGTTCTATTTGCAGTGCGGCGTCATCGAGTGTGTGCCCAATGCGAAGTCCCGCGATCAGCTGGGCAGACAAACAGACTCCGGCCTATCCGAGTACTTCCAGCATCAATATGGAGATGAGAGCTCCAAGGAGTTTCAGGCGGCGCGCGCCAACTTTGTCAAGTCAATGGCTGCCTACTCACTAATTGGCTATCTGCTGCAGATCAAGGATCGGCACAATGGCAACATTATGATCGATAAGGACGGCCATATCATACATATAGGTACTCATGCACATGCATATTATATAATATTGTTGACCAACTATTCGCTTCTGCTACAGATTTTGGCTTCATGTTTGAGTCATCGCCGGGTGGCAATATTGGCTTTGAGCCGGATATGAAGCTCACCGACGAGATGGTCATGATTATGGGCGGCAAAATGGAGGCACCTGCCTTCAAATGGTTCTGTGAGCTGTGTGTGCAGGCATTTTTGGCAGTGCGACCATATCAGGATGCGATTGTGTCACTTGTCTCGCTAATGCTGGACACGGGTCTGCCTTGCTTTCGTGGCCAGACGATTAATCTGCTAAAGCAGCGATTCGTGGCCACCAAGAACAACAAGGAAGCGGCTGCCCATATGCTAGCCGTCATACGTAATTCGTATCAGAATTTCCGCACGCGTACCTACGACATGATCCAGTACTATCAGAATCAGATACCCTACTAGAGTATTATGTGGACTTTGGACTTGGGATTCGGTTTTGGGTTTTGGATTTCTTGTTAGCCAAATGCTGTATTAATTACATTATTCTTGTTTTTTTTTATATATTTATCTCTTTTTATGTTCTTGCGTTTCTGTTTTGTATTTAATAGCTGTTAAATTTTTCGAAGATTTTACGATGCATACTAAATCAATTATAGGGCAATATGTTGTACAATGTATTTGTTACCTACATATATACGCGTATACAAACATACTTATTACTTATATACGATACTAACGATAAAACTGGTCCTCGAGTTGTTGCGAGTTGTCCAGCATAATTCCATATACAGAACACACTTATTTATCTACTTGTAATCATAACCACTGTGTAAATGTAATATCCAAATTTTTTTCTCCGAGCTTCGGTGAAAAAAAAAAACGACAGTTGCGTTTAACAATTTGTGTGTGATTTAAATTGGGCGCAAACATAGGCGCTGCTCTGCTGCTTAACAGAATGACTCCACGTTAAGCAGAAGTGTTATCGAGTTCTGTTAACGCAAAAGTGCTTCAAGCGCAGTGTTGGGAAACGTCAGTAAAAACGAAGAAGCAGACGAGCTGCCAGCCAGAAAAAAAAAACAGCAAAGAAGCTGATAGTACGCCTACAATATCGAATAATTATCGTGCAATGTTCTTTTCATTATCATTCGTCTGCTTTGGCACTTCATTCGTCGTTTAGTTGCTTCTCATACACGAACGAACGTGAACGTGGAACGCGCGGCGCATATTATTTTTCGTTTAGTGAAAGTGTAAGTAGTGTTGGCTCGCTGTGGTTGTTGTTGCAGCATCAGCAGCCCAAGCAGTAGCGACGTTTTGTGCACAATACACACACGGCCGCCATATTAAAATGGCAAAAAAAGGTAGTCGATAAAAAGCATATGCATAATACACAATACTCTTAAGTTCTTGTCCGAAAGTGTCAAATGTTGTACAACTGCAACATAACATGAAACTACCAACCAACGTGTGTGTGAGAACAGCGAAAGTAATTAGAACGAAAACGAAGCAAACGTAAATGAAAAGTACGAAAATGAAGCAATGGCAATAGCAGCGAGAAGTTTTGCGCGTGAAGAAGCAGCAGCGCATAGGTAGAGCGAATAAAAAAATATAAACTCAATTGAAGTGAAAAACCGAACAAAAAGTGCCATTTATTTCAAAAACTACAAAAAATAGAACAGAATTCGCTGTTAAAAGTGCCGCAAACATACATATAAAAAGATCTTGTACAATTTCTGTTGTACAAACCGATTCTTTTTTTTTTCACAATGACAACGAACAAAAAGTATATACGGAAGCAAGGTGTATAGCGAAAGACGAAACGAAACGAAACGAAAAAAGGCAACGGCAGCGGGTCGCGCTCTCTGAGTATGTGTGCGAGTGTGTGTATGGATGCATGTATGTGTTAGAGCGTGTGTGTCGCTACGTGTAGCCGTGTGCGTGAGGCGGCGGCGGCAGCGGCAGCAACAGCAGTAGCTGAAAGAAAGCAGTGAAGAAATATGTATGTGAAAAAGAAAAGAAAGAAATGATAGCAGCGCAAAAACGAAAGAAAAGTTATACATCTTATATGTATGTACAGGCATATGCACATACAAATGTCTGCATGTATGCATATTGTACATAAATAATAAGCAATTCTAGCAACAAATTTTTTTTCTGTTTTAGTTTTTTTTTTTTTTTTTTTTTTGTGTGGCCAGTGAACACCGAGCTGAATAAAACATTAAACACACACACTTCTGCTAATGCAAAAGAAAAAATTGCGTTACACAAGCACCCCCTTTACCGCTGCGCCGCCTCATCCTTGTTTGGCTCTATATTTGAGAACGAACAAGTGCCTTAATCAGTGTGCGTGCGTGCGTGCGTGCGTGAGTGTGAGAGAGTGTCCGTGAGCGTGCGGGAGTATGCGATTGTGCTATTTATTACATAGAATACATACATACATTTTTATTATTGAGTTTTTTTTTTTATAGTGCTCTTTTACATACATAGATGAATTGAGTTATGAAGTCAAAATTGTATATAATTATGTGTTTACGCGCTGCTCCATCCGAGTACATCAATGTTGCCCACTGCACAGTGGTGCCAGATCAACGCTGGCAAGTGTTCTTGTTGTTGTTGCACTAGAATGAATTGTGAAACAAATGAAAATGAGCCAGAGAACACACACACGCACACAGACTCACTTTGCAATTGCACTTGATTATTGACATGCAGTGCAACGAAATGAAATGGAGTAGAATGAAGAAAGGGAATAACATGAATCAACTGCGTTGTGGTATTTGTCTTGTTTATTACCAAAGTTAACACCTTAACTTAATATGCCCTCGTTTATGAAAAGAACAGCAGATTGAAATGTTTAAATATGAAAAGTCAATAAAATATTGTCTCAACATTTTCATTTTTGTTCTCTTGTTAATTGAATTTAATTAAAAAATACACATGCACAGAGACGCATGCACAGTAACATATGCATATGCATATGTATATGTATATGTATGTAGCTTTTGGCCAATCCGAATTTTGGTTGTGGTTCAAGGTTATTTTGAATGCTCTAGTGCCAGGGAATGCATTTGCGACCACTGTTCAACGTTTTGCAGACACTTTGGTCTGGTTATCGGCTGAACGAAAGGTCAAAGGAATTTTAGTTAAATAAATCGAAACTTGCGCAAATTTGTCACTGTCGCTCAGTCATTGTTGCAAAGTGCAATAGCTAGCGACATGCACGGACAGGCACACGTACACGTACACATGCAAATGTGCACGCTCTCAAGCATGGCCAGTGTTGTCAAATTGCTATGCACGTGTCTATGAGCAAGAAGAGCTAAATCAAGTGCGAGTGCGAGAATGAGTAGTCCTCTGCTTGACAACGGCGTCGCTCTGAAATGTATAAAACCATTTGCAAGCTTTTCCCTGTCACAGCTGTTTCCATGCACGTTCGCTCTGATTGCTTGTGTGCGTGTGTGTGAGTGAGTGAGTGTAGGCTGGCAACACTTTTACGCCTGCGTTGTCCTTCGCCTGCGCGTGACATTCCGATACTTTGTACACATTTGCACGCAGCAAACTTTTATCGATTATTCAACAGAGCAGCCCGATTCGGACCGTGTGAGCGTGTGTGTGTGTGTGTGTGTGTGTGTGTGTGAGAGAGAGTGAGGCTTTCGCTTTGTTTGCGTTTGCTTTTGCACAGTTTCCTTGCAAATCGATTGGGCGCACCATCAGTGTTGAAAAGCAGCACTAGTTGCGCCCATTGCAGCACTGCTAACTAGGCACCCAACTATGTGGGCGGAGGCAGCCAGGCTCATCCAACAGCAGCAGCAGCAGCAGCAGCCAAAGGCGAATGTGAAATTCGAGCGTTCAGTCGACGCTGACGATGACGCTGGCGTCCTGTGCTCCGCGTGCTATTCGTGTTAATAATTTTTCACGTCAGTGAGCAGCAGAAAACCTGCAAGTTGATTTTTCTAATTCAATGTTAAATGTGCTCGTGAAATTTAGCACTTTTTTTTTGTTTTCTATAGTTGGTTTGGCTGGTTACTTCGTTGGTCGGTCAGTTACTCAGTCGGTAAGTCAGCTGCTGCTGCTGCTGCGACTGTGACGAGTGCTTACATAATTGGTGCATTCCCAATCTGCATGTAGCTGTTAGTGTGTTTGTGTGTGCTTGTGTGCGAGGACTAACAGTTCGGGACGGAACGGTTACAGGCCGCTGTGAAAAACACACATACAAGCGCACAACGGCTGCTCGGCTAACATTGCTTTCAGTTCTGTTATTTTTATTTATTTATTTGCCGTCAAACGAAAAGTGTAAAGCTATAATTTGACGAAATTTATGCAAAAAGTAAAAGATGAAAAAAAGTGCAAAAACTACTCGTTTTCTATAGGGGATAGTGTAGGAAAATGCCATATTTTCAATTAACAGAAATTAAATTATCGAAAATGTAGTCTGCTCAATAACAAAATAAACAATTTGTTTTATCAAATAATGCTTTTTTTTGCTTGAATCCTTTTAATAAAATAAATCAGAACAATATTTACATTAATGAAGAGCCTTTGGTTAAGTTGACATCGTCGGAGAAGGAAAGCCTACTTTTTGGGAAAATTCGTCTGGCAGGTAATGACTTCTGTTGCTAGTTTTTAAGTGAATGCATAAATATGTTAACCCTGCGTTGGCCTAGTTTTGTACAATTTTGAATGAAGTTTTACAGAACCCTTCAAGTTGCCGGCCTTGATGGGTTAATGGTATATTGCAGTTAGACTTATGTGTGAGGCATTTGCAAAAAGTGCATATGTATGTGTAGGGAATTCTATGCTGGGTCGATGATTTAAATCTTCGTGCTTCTTTAAGGAGCTGAGTGAAGGGTTTTATTTGTAATCCTTTTTTTTTTAGGCGATTATTTAAAGGTATTGTTAGTTTTTAGATTTTCTTATTCAGCTAATTCTGAAAATAACAATTGTCTTTTGTTAAATATATTATCAACTGATCTGTGCAAATGCATACGTTCATCCACTTGTCTCACACATTTTAATAAGCTTAACATTTGATTAAACTGTAAGCGCCAAACAGTTACACTTCCTCCACTGTTAACATATTTAAACGAGTTACTGTTAAACAGATTCTGCTACCAATACATGTTCGATCGAGCACAATTCGCTCTCTTTGTGCGCGACGCTGTTTGGTAACCGCGCCGATCAGCTGTTTGGCAAGCACACAGAAAATTAAGTCGCCATTTAAAATATGCCTTATCGGAAAGAATTTTGCCTGATATCTGCTGATAGAGACGACAAAGCATGTTGTGTTGCCCCCACCCTCCCGAAAAACAAAAACCAATCGCCAAGATTTAAATTTAAAACTTCGTCATACAAAAGGAACAGACACTAGACTATTTACCTGTCTGTTGTTTGTTGTATCTACTTTTTCATAGCAATGTAGTTCGTTTTTCGCTGGGCTAAATTGATCAAGTAGAGAAACATTTTCACCGAAAATAAACGCTTTGGCCCCTTGTAAAGCTGAATGATTCATGTTATTAATCGATATCTCTTATATTTTTATGTACTGCACAGTTCAGCGAATTTTGAAAGAAGAGTTAATAAATAAGAGGGCATAGCCTGACATACTTTCCAACACTGTCAAAAGAGATTGCTTCTGCTTATCTGTAGCCTATTGAATGTCCAGTATTGGAAAATTATGAACTAATCGTTTCTGCAGGCAGTTTTTGTTTTGGAATTTACAACCTCATCACACACACACACACAAGCATGTTATGCACATTATTTGTAGCTCGCTTTTCGGCGTAAAGCAGATGCTTCTTCTTCTACTGTAGCTCTGCCTCCCAGGAATGCTCAATGGGTAAAATGGCATGCAAACCGTTTTTCGTTGCGCGCGTGTGTCAATAAATAAGGCGACTAAAAATACGTGAGAATAGCGAATATGAGCAAGATGAACAACAACAACAACAAGAACAGTGTGAAACAATTTGAAAATACGACACGCGCGCGGGGGCGTTACCCAAGCCACCCACAGTTTAGCCTCTCAGAAAACCGAAAAAATGAAAAAAAAAAGAGAAAAGAACAAGAACAAGAAGAAGAGTAAATGGCGACAAAATGGGCCACTATAACATACAGAAGAGAGCAGGCTAGTTGTGGAGAGTAGCATAAGGAAAAAGTCCACTGACTGTGTGTGTGTGTGTTGTTTGTTTATGTATTTGTTGGGTTTAAAATTCAATTAAGCAACTTAAGCAAATCGAACCGCTGTATTGGATGGCTATCGAATACACACATTCTACCTCTCCTCTTTCTCTCTCTCTCTCTCTCTCTCTCTCTCTCTTCTCGGGCTGTTTGTGTTTCAGTTGACGCTGCCAAAATGTTTGCCATGTCGCTTTTAACCTTGATGGATTTGCTTCTTATGCTTTTTCGGCAAAGTGGCATTTGAAAGAGAGAACTAGTCATTGGCAGAGAGATGGGGGGGGAGGGCGAGCCAGAGACTGATTGGGTTGGCTTGCCTGCAAATATTTATTGGCAAATGCCATAGCATACTTTTTGGAGATGTAGTTGCAGAACACACAAACCCACTACACCTCCCCCCCTTCTTCTACCACCGCGTTGCCGTCAAGCTTTTGGAATTTATCAGCGAGTTTCTGTTGTCGCATGTTTTTAGCTTGCCTTGGTTGGGCATCGATTTATTTTGGCGCCAGGGCTGCCAGGCTGTCAGAAATCGATCGAATTGTCGAAACGTGTGCGTTTGCTTCGAGGTGGATCTGTTAATTGCGTGAGAGGAAGCCCCCTTTAGGCATTAAGTGTATTACGAGTTTCGAGTATCAATCAATCGATTAGTATATAGCAAAAGTAGTCGGGCAATAAAACGTTCCGATTGGCATCGACAATATATATATATATATATATAAGAGAAAACTCGGAAATAATTGTCTGGCAGCAGGTCAAGTCCTAATGAAAATGAGCTCATGACGACGGCAACGCTGCGCGATGACACTATTGTTGACATACCAATACACGCACAGACACACGCACGCTGCGCCATTTGCGTTGTTTTGTGGGTCAAAGGGCTGCCGCAGTACGACAAAGACGACGCTGTCTTTGGGTGCGGGTACGCGGCGACCATCGTCATCATTCTTTGGGCTGACAGTTAGCTGCTCTTCAAACACATTTACACATTTAGCACACACACACACACACACACAGCGGTCTGCTGTTGCAATTTAAGACCGTTAACTGTTAGCTATACCGTTGTTTGTTCTATGAGTTTCTGATCATATATATTGCATGCGTTGTGTCCCTGTGTGCGTGCGAAACTCATACATTTTGCTACTCCCCTCTCGCTCGCACGCTCTCCCTCTGGCCGTTTTATTGGTTAAAATGGTGTCACTGTCAGATAAGCTTTCGCTCGCTCTTTGCCTCTGCCACTGCCTTCCTCTGGCTTTGCTCCCTGCCTTCTCTTCGTGTTTGCATTTAATGCACTCTAATGCACTAGTGTAGTTGGCAATTAGTTAGACATTCAAAGGCTCGCCTTAATATGTCTGTCTAAACAAATTTTGTGCAAATTGAATCTGTTCGTGCACTTTTCCCATTTCATAGCATACGCAGAGGCGCAGGGCTTTGCTGCTGTGTGAGAGAGAGACTTACCGGCGTCAGCTGTCAATGGCGGCCACTTGAAATGGGGTCAATCAGCGAGGCTATTCAGGACAGCCACGCCCAAGCCAGGCCGCCCAATGCAGCGTGCTAAGTGCATGCCAACTGACCAGAGCCCCTTCTGGGCACTCCCATGTCAGTGAGAGTGAGTCCGTATATGTGTGTGTGTGTGTGTGTGTGTGTGCTATTACCACCAATTTATTTTCGTGTCAGCCAACAACAACATTGAATTCCCTTACGCTTCACTTATGCACCTGTTCCAAATGCCGTTCCTTTGCCCCCATTATCTTTCGATTGTGCTTGCATTGCAATAAACTTGAAGCGCTGCCAATAAGGAAAAGCAATCAAAGAATAACACCAACAACAGGGGATGCGGTCTTACTGCAATACAGGCTTATGTGTACATATATGTGTGCGTGTTTGTGTGTGTGCTGTGCAGTGCAATTTTAAAAGGCATACGTCACAAAGGCAACAACAATAAACAAAGTACGACGCGTGGCATTGAAACATGAGTGTGTTGTGTAGCAAACCAAGAAGACTAGCACCGCTCTGCATAAGTGTGAGTGTGTCTATTTGCGGCAGTGTACGAGAGAGAGGGAGAGAGAGAGTGTAACAGCAAAAACGGCGAGTAGAACTAACAGTAACGGTAACAGCAACTGCAAACAGTAACAGCGCAAGCCAGTGCGACAGAGTGGGAGAGAGAGAGAGAGAGAGAGAGAGAGAGAGAGAGAGACTAAAAGAGACGGAGGTTAAAACTGTCGCGCGGAAGCTGCAAAAACACGTGACGCGGTTGCGAGTACTTTTTTTTTTTTTTTTTTTATATTTACTTTCTTCTTTTATTGATTTGCTGTGCTTTGTTTTTGTTTTTAATTGTTTCACAGATGCTCTGCATGTGTTGTTATATGTGTGCTTGGCACTGTTAATTAAATTTTCAATTCTTTATTGATTGCTTGCAGCCGTTTAACAGTTACAATTTAATCATATTGACGAGTGTTGTGTCTGTGTGTGTTACCAACAACGCGTGTGCCAGCCGACAATTTGGCCATCACATCACCAGTGAGCTAAAGCAGCATATACAAATTGAAGAAACATTTATCAACATTTATACAAAACAGATATAAAAACAATAAACCAATTACAACAACAACAGCAACAACAACAACAACAACAACAACAATAAAAAGCAGCTGTAAAAACGACGCGTGTGTGCTGTGTTATTTTTTTTTTTTTAACAAGTCTACGACACGCGCTGCCAACAGCCGTGCATCGTCCTCTGTGTTGGGACAAAGGAGAACTTATCAAAGGCTTGATTGCAAAATAAAGAAAAGAATAATTGCTAAGAGCAGAATAACGTGACTGTCAAAACAATAACAAATATACTGTGAGCGAGGAAGAGACGAAGTGACCACTACAAAGTGCGTGAGTGAGCGAGAGAGAGAGCGAGTGCGAGATCGAGAGCGAGAGCGAGAGGGAGCAGCAACATCACCATGAGCGGTCGTCCAAGAACCTCCTCCTTTGCCGAGGGCAACAAACAGTCACCAAGTCTGGTGCTTGGCGGCGTCAAAACTTGCAGTAAGTACAACACATATCTATCTACATATATCTTATTATTATAGATACATTCAGACAAACTTAAGAGGTGAAGTGGATGCATCCATGCAGAAAATTTATCAAGGAATTTATTACCCGGTTAGGAACATATTTTTTTTTTTGAGTTGACTTTAGCACTCACATGAATTTTACTTGGGGAAAATGTATATTGTAATATTTGTAGTCAAAAATCAATCAAATGCTTCGTTAGGTTTCGCTGTCTGGAACGTGCTGGAACTATGGAACTTTCTTCTAGTTGGAAAAGAGAAATATGGAAATGATGATATATGACATATGATATTAGCAGCTATTTCCGGCCTTGTCCGATCAAAGGTCTTCTACACATTTTAGACATCAGTTTTCCAGCCATTTTTGAGCCTTTCCTGAACTCCACGTCCAAATTTATATCTCAAATATCTAATTTGCTGATGAGTCCATTGAATAACGAGCCAACAGCTGAAAATAATCTCGGAATCGATAAAAAGATAACTTTCGTGCGCATTTTCCATCCATTAGGGTGGATTTTACGGTATGTGTGAAATGAATTTGAGGAAGGCTCCTTGAGATTGGGGTTTGGGACCGAGGGCAAAGTTTCTTACAACCTTTTACGCGAGTTTTCCACACTGACGAGTGGAATTTTCTTCGTGCGCCTCCATCACATCAAAAATGTCAGCTCCGACCCCATTAAGTATATATATATATATTCTTGATCAGCATCAATAGCCGAGCCGATCTAGCCATGTCTGTCCGCCTGCCCGTCCGTCCGTTTGTATGAGGTGTTTAAAGTAGAGGGTTCAGGGTATCCCCTAGTCGAGTGCTCCCGACTGCCAATGCTGATTATGAATATATTTAGTACCTTATATTAGCAGCAATGTTGTAATCGGATAAAGGAATATAAGCAGAGATGCGGGAAACATATATAATATAATCGAGCAAGTTTTCTCAAGATTTCAGAAAACTCATAGAATAATAGCTTACGTGATATTCGTATTCTATTCCAATTGCAAATTGGTTTATTGTGAAGAATCCATTTAGAGATTCTTTAGTTGATTTTCTTTCGTTATTGGTTGCAAGATTTTGGAAGAGAAATGTATGCCAAGCATCTTTAAAACCGTAAATATTATAAAAGGACCAAAAGGACTTATTTAGTTTTGCCATTCATCGTGGCTTAGAAGACCCTTTTTTTTTTGTTGAGCACTTTATTTCCCCCTAGTTTCTATAGAGCTATATGATATTACGGATTTAATCCAAGTTAAATTTGTGGGATAATAATAATTCTTTTCATGTTTTCCACCTTTAAGAGAACTTTGTGGAGCTTTTGACGTTTCGTCAAAATACATTGAAAGACAAACAAAGCCAAAAATATATATACCCTATAAAGTTATAGGGTTGCAGATGCCTTCATCTTCATTCGTGTAACAAAAACACGTTTTAGCCAATTTCAATGGGTACAGGGTATAGAAAGACAGACACACATGGCTTTGATCGACTCGTCCGTTGATACTGATTAAATACATATATTTCATGATTTTTGCGTGTGGTCAGGGAGTCTGCTATGCGTTAAACATTTTAGTACGAAGTCATAATGCCCTACCTCAGGGAAGCAAAAGCTGCTTTAGCTCAAGAGCCAGAAGGAGGATCTTAGCTAAAATGCACTTGCAGTAATTAAATAGATGTGCTATGGGTATATCTACTGATTTACTTGATTTTCATGAACTCGCAATTATCGTGAAATGTTACATACGAATGTTTTTGAAAATATATATCAATTATATCTTGTAATGTGGCTCAATGATTAATGCGAGTCGGATCAAATTTACATGAACTTTGTTGAAGGTAAGTTTAGTCCACTTTTTATACGAATATGATATAATTGATCAAAAGTTTTCTAAACTAGTGTTTGAAATTGTTAACAAAGGTGTTGTAAAACGTGACTATTGATAGTCTTGTAAAACACGACGAGAGATCGCTCGCATTATTTATTTAAAGACTTTTAGTCTGCAAATTAATTCAACTGGAAGCCTTTAGTTGGACTTTTTGTCGGATATGCCGCTATATGGCGTGCTTAAACGTTATCTAAAGTTGAAGGCTAATCAGCTGTAAAAGCATATTTTCTGATTGGACTGACAGCCCCTTCGAGCTACTATCGTCTGATCCGTGATTAGTTTCACGTGAAGATCACAGAGAGGCACACAAGGGCTCATTTAAGCTTTTAGGGCGGAGAGAGAGTGAGAGAGAGATAGGAATGGGAAGCGTACACTTAGAGTTTATGAGAGTCACGTGCTCATTCGATATCTGCTGCCGTCATTGTAACTTCTTTTCTTTCTTTTTTTTTTTTTGTCAAGTTTTGCATTGCTGCATTTCTTCACATAACATGTGTTTTTTATGTATATTCACTATCACGGCTTGAGTTCAATTTCGAAATGAGTCGCGAATTCTAATCTGTGGAATCGACCGTGTTAGCTATCAATGTTTTTCTATGAAGCACCAACCAACGAGGGCTTCTCAATGAGTTTGATTCACAATCGTAATTATGAATTTATAGTCACATGCATGATGGGGCCATAGAACTATATATATATATATATATAGCATTTATCAGCGGTCCGCTCCACGTGCCTCATCGTCGTCGGGAGCAGACTAAGCAAGCCGCCTTTCCTTGATTCTACTTAACCTCATCCCCTCCCTTTATCCACTAGCGCGCCCCCAGCAGCTGTCAGAATATTCATTTTTGCAGCGCCAGCGAGTTCAATCGATTTCACACTCACACTAAATATCTCACCCATACATACACACACACACACACACACACACACACACACACACACACACACACTGTAATATACATGCACATACATACACATAGGAGAGCACTCGATTACTCACCACAATCGCTCTCTATTTTGCTCTCTCTCCCAATTGCAAACTTGCTTTGCGGTGCGGCACAGTGGCGCAATGCAGTGGCCGCGCCGGTCACGTAAGCGACCGCGACCCCACTGTACACAAAGGTGATGGCGCGCAGCGACTGCGATGGTCGGGTGCCGCTGTTTTGTCTGTTGCGCTCCCAAAAGTGACTTTTTTTCCATCACACCAGCACAATTACACATGAATACACGTACACAGGTATGAAGCTTCGCTTCAGTCGCCGTCACCGCTGCCACCGCATGGCGAGTGTGACGCGCATGCTAGCACAGCGAATTCGCACACAGATACAAACACAAACACTCATATAATCATATACCCATATACACTCACCCTCGACAGTTTCACCTCACACGACCTGCCGCTTCGCTGAGCTCTCTTCGTTGCCGCCAATCGCCAGCCCGTTGGTCGGTCGTTGTTATGCTCTCACAGAGCGATGTCGCCATCGATTGTTGTTTGGTTTTTCGCCGCAACATTTGCTGCTGCCGCTGCTGCTGTCGCTGCGGCCAATGCATACAGTTGTGTGATGAGTTGAATTGTCGTTGCTCGTGTTTTTTTCGCTCTGGCTTTCAGTAGCACGAAATTCGTCGAAGTAACGCTGAGAACAACGCAAAAACGCGCGCAACCAACTTCACTTTACTTTTTCACTGTTGTTCGCATTGCCCATTTTTTTTTTTTTTTTTTTTTTTTTTAGTTTTTTCTTTTTGTTTAAATATTTTCTGTGCCTGTGTGTGTGTGTCGTGTGTATTTCTTATTGCGCTGCTTTAACAAAATTGTAAAGAAAAATGTAAAGAAAAACTAAGTGTGCAAAGCGCTGCAGAACGTGGAAAGTGCCAGCGCCCAATAAGTGCAATATTTTCCCTCAAATTTCCACTCATTGCATTCTGGTCGACGTTGTTCTCGGTCGTGTGTAGCTAACCGCGCCGTCCCTCGTGTTTGTGTGCATCTAGTTAAACGGTAACTGCGCTGTCAGCAGCGACGGCGACGACGCTGGCTTTGAAGTTGGCAGCAGTCGAAATTACTGTTGTTGCTGTTACCCACTGCCTGCTGCCTGCTGCCTGCTGCCTGCTGCCTACTGCCCACTGCCACCCCCTGCAAAGAACATTCTTGAGCTGATGAAAAAGCGCCCATCACCAATACTACAACAACAATCGACTTGAGTAAGAAGGTCAGCAGCGACGTTGACGCATTCGAACGCTTTCTCGCCGCGGTCGCTAAGCGCTCTCTGCAACAACAACAAAAGCGCAGCAGTGGCGGCGCTGCACAGCGTTTTTCTCTTTTTTCACTTCTACTGTTGGCTGCTGAAGGTGACGAGCATGTTGATCAATCGCGGTTCACTGCTTGAAGGTAAAAACTGTTAACTTTAAGGAATATACAACACTAGAACAATGCTGTAAAAATAATTACTTTTTAATTGTGCCACTCTTTAACACCCGCTCACACACACCCACACACACACACTTGCAACGGCAGAAAGAGAACTTCAGCTGTTTTACCTGTTGAAATGGACGCTCTCACGATCAACTCGCTCTCTCGCGTTGTCTCTCTTGCTCTCTCAATACACGTGCGTGTGTGTGTGCGTGCGCATAGACTCGTCTCTCGCGTAATTTCTTTAACCTGTCGGTCGCTCAATTCGGCGTTTGCCTTTGAGAAGAGAGGTTGCGCGTGTAAAAAAAAACCAAATTCAATTAATAATTTTTAGCTCTGAATGTGCACATGTGTGCGTGTACGTGTGCATGTATTAATGTAGTAAGCGTATGTGTGTGGGTGAGCGTCGTAATTTATATTACACGCAACCGATTACGCTCATAATTAGTGAAAAGACGGTAGCAACAACAGTCATAGAAAAGGGAGGATGAAAGACTTAGACAGGCATTATGACCAGAGATAAAGTTTTTGATTCTGAACGACCGTTAAAGAGCTAAAGGTGTTGTTGCTCATAAATGATGCAAACATTGAAGAAGAACTTCAACATATAAAGATTTAACAATTTAAGAAGAATTAAAAATTAAAATTGGATAAATAATTCAAATAAAAAGTGGCACAGATGACATGACTCG